TTCGAGTTTTATAAAACGGCTTCTCGAGTTTTATAAAACGATTTTTGAGTTTTATAAAACGATTCTTCGGGTTTTATAAAATGATCCTTCGAGTTTTATAAAACGGCTTCTCGAGTTTTATAAAACGATCTTTGAGTTTTATAAAACGGCTTCTCGAGTTTTATAGAACGATTCTTCGAGTTTTATAAAACGACTTCTCGAGTTTTATAAAACGGTCTGCGAGTTTTATAAATGACTTTGAGTTTTATAAAACGACTCCTCGGGTTTTATAAAACTATTCCTTTTGTATTTTTGCAGTGAGTTTTGGCTATTGATTCCGTCGTACCGATTTTGACCCCAACAATATCTGTGGGTCTCTTCATGATGGCGGTGGGAAGGTTACTGGGAGTTTTAGACTGCTTTCGGAGTGCATTAAGTCGTGCAACGTCTATCTTTGGAAGTTGCACTTGACGTTGGGGTACTGTATATCGCGACAACTGGAGTATGTCGGTCGATATCTCTAGCTTCGTATCGATCGACGGGTGAGTCTGTCTGTCGATCAATAGGTGTAGTGTTGATTCTGAAAGGGACGGGCGGATGTGGGTGTCATGCTGTGAAGGCTTCATGTGACATAAGCTTGACAGCACTGCACTCGTGAGGGGTTTCCTCGAAATCCATCGATCGATACTCGTCAAAGTCTATCGATCGATTCTGGTTAGCCAGTGTCGATCGATACGTGTCAAATCCGATGTCTGTTTCCCTCTCATCTTCAGAATTTTGCAGTTTCTCATGCTTCACCACTTGCCAAAATTCATCATCCAGGATGGCATTCACGTGGTGGTTAGTAGCAAACTCTCCCATTCCTTTTGCTAAAGCTTCTTGCTTCTTTAGTGCTTCTCCTGTCTGAACCACCTGAGTCTCTAATTTCTTCACATGGGTGCTTAAGGCATCAAGCTTTGTGTTGAGGTTGGTGTAAACAGTGTTTATCTTTCCATTGAAGTTCATCTGAAGTTTCTGCTGACTCTCAAGAACCTTGTTTAGCATCTCTTTTAGTTTACTCTCTTGGGTGGGTGGGGGTGGATTTGAGTAGAATGAGTTTCCATAACTCATGTTGTTGTTGAGGTTGCTGTTGCTGTAGTTGTTAGGCTTCTGTGAACTCTGGTTGAAGTTGTTTTTCTGTCCTGCAAAGTTTATGTATCCTCCTAGGTTACCAGACCTCTGAAATCCAGCTCCACTAATCCAATTCACATCTTCTTCTATGTATTCCTCTCCAGCTACAGTTTCTGCATCCTCCACTGAGCAAATCTGTTTGTTTAGTAACTTTTGAACATTATGCAGCTGTGCTTGCACTTAATTAATTTGATCATTCCCAAGAAATGATGTAGCTTTTGTCTTCACAATGTTCTTTGTGCTGTTGCTTGAAGCTAGGTTATCAATTAACTTCACAGCCTCTTGCGGATTCCTGGTGGTGAAGTTGCCTTCACTAGCTGTATCAAGAGCCATCTGATACTTCAAAGTAATGACTCTGTAGAAAGTGCAGAGCAGTTGCACTTTGTTGAATCCGTGGTGTGGACAATCTCGCTGGTAGGATTTGAATATGTTACATGTATCTTTAAATGATTCTCCAGGATCCTGAGTGAATGTAGCAATTTTCCTCCTCCATTCTTCAGCGTGTGAGTCATCAAAGAAGTTACGCAGGAATGTGTTTTTGATGTCGCTCCAGGTTGTGAGAGAACCTGGTGGTAGTTGCCTCAGCCACTGCAAAGCTTCTCCAGATAAATAGTATTTGAAAATCTTGCGGAGAAGATAGTCTTGAGGGACTCCATTGGCTTTTATGACAGTTATGAGATCCTCGAACCTCTCCAGATGGTCCATAAGATGCTCATGGGACAACCCACAGAAAGGTATTTGTCCTACAAGTGTGTAGTACTGCGGCTTGAGCTCGAAATCTCCCATCTGAATAGCAGGAGGGCAGATGGCTGATCGGTTGGTATAGAACTGATCCGGACAGTTGTAGTCAGCCAAAGTTCTAGCTCGGTTAGCCTCTTCTACAGGTTGAATGAGGTATGTAGGTGCAGTTTCTTGCTCAGGAATGATCTCTTTCTGAGCATTCAGCTTCTGACCTGCTGCATTACGCAGGTGACCATCTTGATCACGCAGGTCTCCATTCTCATCAGTAGTGAGAATAATAGTCGCTACCATGTCTCACCGGTAAGTATCGATCGATTTAAGATGAGGTATATCGATCGATGTCGAATGAAAGATTTCGGTCGGCGAACGGTTGTTGATGTTGATCGATGGAAAGGGGCGAGTATCAGTCGACGAAGAAGTGTCTCGGTCGACTGTGGTAAGCGAGTGTCGGTCGACAAACAGTTTTTGATGTCGATCGATGCGGAACGTAAGTCTCTGCGGTTGCTACGTTCCAAACTGTGGGGGTCTTCTGAGTACACAAGTTGGGTGTGCTTGTTGCTCCTAGTACTGCTGGGCATGTACCTGAAAAAAAGACAAGAAAAAACAAATTGTGTCAGAAGATGATTAAGCAGTAACAAGTAACCTAGACCTAATCAGATTAAATCTAATGGCGATCAAAGTTCCCCAGAAACGGCGCCAAATTTGATATCACTCAAATTACCCTAAAGAGTGAATTACTCTCTCAAATAAGAGGTTCAGTTGTACTACTTAGGGATCGAATCCACAAGGAACTAAGGAACACAAAAGATATAATCCTTAGTGATTATGCTATGTTGATTAAGTTTAAAATTAAATTGCAGTTGTGAGCAATGGTAAGTTTCTCAAGAAAATTGGTTTAGGTTTTAAACAATAAGAGAAAGTAGTTAGATTCAAGGTTGCTATTCAGATAATCAGGATTCTAATGCTACAGATGTCTTAATAAGTTGCTTGCAAGATATTAAAGAACTTTAACTCTTAGATAAGTCTATTAGCAATCGCTATCTAGACTCGTCCATTGATCTGACTGCCGGCAATATCGACCGATGTTTTGACAGCGATATCGGACGATATAGGTTGTCATCGATCGATATTTATAGGAGTATCGATCGATATAGCTTCAGATCGAATTGAATATGTGTTCACCAAGATCATAGACCGGCTCTCATTCGTCCCAAGAGGATCTCAGCTTATGCCAAATGATTTTAGGATAACGATTAACAAGTTAAATCATTCCAGGATCATAATCTAGTTAGCTACTTTAGAGTAAGCATTAGGGTTCATCAGGATAATGAATATCACAACTCAGCAATCTATAGTTGGGGCTAATCCCTCATAACTATTTGAACCCCAAATCTAACAAGTGAATCTACTCAGACATAGCTAAGTGATTCATAGCATCAAAGTAATAATAGAAATTCATGAGATTAGAAGATTGAATACTTGGTTCATTTGAACAACAAATCTCTTTGTATATTCTTCTAAATCTAGAACTCTATAACCTTTGATGAAAATGAGAATAAGATGAAAAGAATAATTTTACTAATGAAAGCACTAAGAGTATTAAAAAGCACACTAAGAATAAAAAGCATATCCTGCCAAAACACATAGGCATAACTATAAATATGAGTTCAATTAGGTTAAAAACTCGTCAGGGGTAATCTTGTAATATTGAGAGAACTTGGGCTTCAAGTCGGCTGAGTCAAACTTATTATTCACGCTCAATATCGATCGATGGTACACGGCGTACATCGATCGATGGAGTATCTCGACTCGTCGTCTTCTACGGAAGCATCGTCGATCGATTACACATGATGTGTATCGAACGATATGTGTCTCTGGATATCGACCTTGTTGTCTGATCTTTATAGTCATCTTGGAAAAACTCTCATTTAAGCTCCATAGGGGCACCTAAATCATCACTTTACTCCAAAATGCTCCTGAACCTGAAAACATACCTAATAGACTCCAAAACATATATATACATTGTAAAATCATCTCAATACCATGGTTAAAAGTGAGTCAAAACCATGGTAGATCACTTAGCTCACCGGGAAACTGACTCCATCAGGATCGTGCATAACTTAGCAAAGATAAACAGAGATGTCCCTTAATAAAAAACCTTCCGGCACTTGGAAAGAAAACTTGAATCAAGAAGTAATATTTCTTAAAACTTCAAATCAGCTTTTGAGAATCCAAAATCTGAGAAAATCAAGTTATCATCTTCTTCCTCTTTGACGTGAGACTGGTTACTCATTAACAAGGGTTTGGAGCTTCAAAGAGATCTCAGGTGATCAATAATATTTGTTCAGGTGGAAGAAAGCAAAGCGTTTTAGTCACCCACGACTTATGAACGTTGCTTGATTTAACAATTGAACCAAATGATTCCCTAGCAGAGCGGCGGATCTCTAGTGAGGATCACAATCCATATCTGGATTGAGAAAATGGAGAGAGTGAAGATGGAGGTGTTGAATTCACGGAGAAAGTTCTCAACAAAAAGGTCACCGATTATGGAGAAGAAAAAAATGAGAATTTTGGTGCCAAACTTCACGAATATCCGCCAAACTCATCAGCTGCTAAGAGCGAAAGATGATGGGGAAGAATCAGTGAGTCAGGAGCTATCCAGATCTGTTGTTATCAAGCCAAAAAGAGTCGGCACAGAAGAGTCGTACACCGTCGCCATGTACATTGCATGTTTCTGTTTTAAACTTTCTCTCTCCTTTCATTAATTCGTGACTTAGTTTTTATATTCAAATTCCCACATATCATCATTAATTTTTTTTTAAATCCCCTTTTTATTAATACAGAAGCAGATTCAAAAAGAAACCTTTAAATGATACTATATTTACATGGTTGCCATTATGGCTAACGTGTCAGATAGATAGAGCTCCTCAGGCTCTTTAAAAATACCCATCTCTCTCTAGACAATTTACGTTCTTTGCCATTGGACTGCATAATATTATTTCATGATATTATTTCATACAATAAAACTTTTATCGAGAATATTGACTCTCTCTCTTCCCTTTAGTTAACTTCATCGAGAAGCTCTGTAAAAAGGATCCAATTCTCACCAGATGGCTTCTTCTGCGATTGCGAGAGCTCCGGGTGCTACGACGTGCCGTAGGCTGAGGATAAACCCTAACAACGAGCTTAGACCAGATAATTACGAGGATATGCATCTCGATTTCCCTAATCCTGTTTATAAGAATCTCGAGAAGTACTTGCCGCCAGACATGTTGGTTTCCAACAGGGAGGAGAAAGTGAGATTCATGACTGACATTATGCACAGTCATCTTCCTAACGGAGAGCGTTCCAGGGTATAAAGTTCAAAGCTTTGACCTTTCTTTGTCTGAATTTTGAGATGGGTTTTGCTTTAGAGCTGGCCCACTTGGCTTTTATGATGATTAGTGTGTTGGTTTCTCAGAGATTTAGTTTAAAGTGTGTTCCTTTTTTATTTTCTCCATGATGGTACAGGCTCAGAGGCACAATGACTATAGGAGTAAGATAGTATCAAACTATCAGGTGTGAATCCCTTTTCTTTGTACTTTACTGTGTTTTATATCTGGCGGAAGTAGTTTTGAAGTGTTGTTTTTTTTTTGGTTTCTTTCTCCTGCAGCCACTTCACAGGGAGCTTTATAATCTGGTTCCCATACTATGTTTCGTTCCTTCTTTCCTAAATGCGGTTAATGATAACACAGAGGATAGCTTCAGAAGCATCATATCTGAAGCGTCTCCTGGTGTTTTTGTTTTTGACATGCTCCTACCTAGCTTCTGCGAGATGATGCTTGAAGAGGTAATGTACAATGCATCCTTTTTTTTGGTCAACAGGCTTTTGATAATAATTTTGATCCACTTTACTGCTCCTTCTGATCAACCAGGATTTGTCTTTTATTCTTATCTGGTATATAGGTTTGTGCGCCCTTCCAGCTTTCTGGGTAAATTACATACTCTTGCTTCATAAGCTATTGGCGAGAAGGTCAGTGTCTTTTTTTCTTATCTTTTTTTCTGTTCAGTTCCTCTGTTTCCACTTTGTTGGTTTTACATCAAGTCTTTGACTAATACACATTATATACTGTTAATCTCTTTACCAACTTCTGTGATTTAGTGGAGCTGATCTTGCTAATCTGTTGAATGAGGCTGCTATATTGGCTGGAAGGCGTGCGAAGACGGCGATATCGTCTAAAGAGATTGATGACTCTATTGATAGAATCGTTGCTGGTATGGAAGGAACTGTGATGATTGATAGCAAGAGTAAAAGCTTGGTTGCTTACCATGAAGTTGGTCATGCCGTGGGTGGGTATGTGAGAATCAGATTAACAAAGCATGTCTTTGTACAACTTTTAAAATTTTCTGACTCTTTTTGTTTCTTTGCAGAACATTGACACCAGGACATGATGCTGTGCAAAAGGTGACGTTGGTACCAAGAGGACAAGCGAGAGGTCTAACTTGGTTCATTCCATCAGATGACCCTACTCTCATCTCCAAGCAACAACTCTTTGCAAGAATTGTTGGTGGACTCGGTGGTAGAGCCGCTGAAGAAATCATCTTTGGTGAGCCTGAGGTTACTACTCTCGCCGTTGGTGACTTGCAACAGATCACCGGTTTGGCTAAGCAGGTAGCTAGCTTCATGCTCATACCTAATGATAAGTTTTTTAAATACAGACTGTTTGGTTATTTTACTTTTTGGCAGATGGTAACAACATTTGGAATGTCGGCTCTACCACCATGGTCATTCATTTGGTTACATAAGCGTCTCTCTTTTTTCTTTTTTCTTAATTTACTTATGATGATCAAATAAAGAGTTTGTAGTTTTTGTTGAGGGTGTTCCATGTTCTTTTGTTTGCAGCTGTTAATATCAAAGAAGAGGCTAGCGTCTCTACGTTACTGATGAAATTGGATAATAAATTTGATCCCTTTGATGCAATGAGCACTCCTTTTTACCCCATTGTTACGTTTAAGCAGGTAGTAGACATTACAAAGTGTAGAATAAAAAAATTTGGCATACATAAAAATTATACCCTTCCATAATATTTTTTATTAGAAAACTTCTATTATTGGTCTCATATATATTGTATATATTTAAGGAAGATTAAGCTCTCTGTTAGTTGTTAATATTTATATAAATTAGGTTGATGACTTCGTAATATATAGTTTAAGAGGATGAGGTCACCCAAATATTAAGCAAGGCATTAAACTAACGAGAGTTTTTATAATATTTACATAAATTACAATGATGACTTCGTAATATTTATTAATAAAATACATTCGTAATATATAGTTTAAGAGGATGAGATCACCCAAATATTATAATAATAAAGATTGTATATTTTTATGGAGGATTTAGCTCTGCTACTTGGGGATACCACGTTAAATTATGGCAATGTTCGTCTAATTAGGTAATAAAATCATTAGTCATTTATTACTATTGAAAAACACGAGCAACGCTAATGCAGCAATATACACTGTTGAGGAAGGTGAGTGGTATGAGTTAGAAAACTTTGACATTACCTATGCAACTGGGATAACGAGGGTGTCAAGAAACCGATACCAAATTAACCTCAGTGACGCCTCCATCATTTTCAAAATTCCACCACTCTCCTTTTGCAACTATTATCATTTTGAAACATTCGATAACGTATGCTAGCTCATCCAATGTATTCTATTGGTAAATTTATATACTTATCTTATATTCTTTTTTTAGAAGTTTAATGCCAACTGATATGTTTGTTTACCTATGACTAATTTACGTTTAAAAACTCCAGATCTGTATGGAGCTTTGGTATCAATGGGTGACATTGAAGCAGATGCAATAGGGAACCATAAGATCGAATTCTCTTTAGTGAATATTGAGTAAGTTTTCTACATGTTTATATAGCTGTTTTTTTTCACTGTTATTGCATATGAACTAATTTTCTTAAAAAAAAATTATTCTCACTTACAGCTATGAACACATTAAATGTGTTGCATATGGAGAAGTTGTTGAGTTTATAAATAATTTCTGGAACTCAACCAATGCACCTGTTGTCCTATGTGTTTTACAGTTCTGGCAAATTGATTGGGGTGTTGGTAAATTTCATTTATATTTTTTATACACACTATTTTTTTATTATAACATTTTTAAAAGGGTCAAATTATTATTTTTGATCATGATAAGGTGGATTGAAAAATGTGACGACCATTGATGGATTTTCTAAAATTCGCTTTGAGCCCGATGATGTTCTAGAAATTCAACATTTCTGAATGAGGTAATACCAAATGATTGGAGAATATAGACCTAACTTGACTAAATAATTATGCTCACTTATTTTGTTAATTTTTCTTTTAGGATTCCATACTACGTCTACTGAAGCAAAGAACTATTGACTCGCTGGATCCAATTTTATACCATTGTCGTTTTTTTATATTATGTTGCTTTCTTATTTCATGTTTCTCCTTATGTTCTTCTTTAATTTTAATATCTATTGAGTTTTAATTTTCCAATTATACGCTTTGTTCCATCGTTACTTACATGCTGAGATTTTGATTCTTACAATATCACTATTATTCTTTTACACCTTAACTTATACACAACGTATTACACTTCTGTCGTTTTTAAAACATACCTATTACACATGTTTAAATCCTCTTAATTTATTGGATGCACACATATGTACATTATAATACTCAAATCAATTATCAAATATGTAAAAAGAAAATTTATATATAAGTATCTCATCCCGTGCAAAGCACGGGTCTCATCCTAGTGGAATAGTATAATTGTAAGTGTTTTTAAGGACTACAAATAGTGTGATTGACCAATGTTGGAATAAATGTGAGAAGATTAAAGTAGAGAAAATAAATGGAAGTTTTTGTAGAGTAAACATATAAAAAGAAAAAAAAAACTGAAATCAACACGACTTTTTTACAGTGCAAAATCAAAAGAGAAAAATAAGTTATTTTACTATTTTCATCTAGTAATTAGACTAAAAAGTTAAATAATTTTTTCCTTGATTTTCACAATAAACTATGAAAGTAAATAATTTTCTATTATTAATATATGATTAACTGTGATATAAAATCACACTCAAAATTTAATAATATTATCATAATCACAAATTTCTTAATAGTGAAATGTTCAAAATAGAACATAAATCCAAATACTATTGTAAATGGATTATTAATTTGATTAGATTGTTAGACTAAATAATTTTTAAAATTTATTATATTTAGGAACATAAATAAATATTGCATATTGAATATATATATAAATATTTTTAAAATAAATATATTTGTTAAATTTATACTATTATTTGAGAAGTGGATTTGTTTATGTGACGTTTTCCATAATTTTTATGTTTATTTTGCTAATGTGTCATGTTTTAAGTAAATTTTAGTTGATTCATTAACTTATTAATTTCAATATTATCACTAATTTAATTATTTTAATTAGATATATAATCATTTCTTCATAATTTAGGTTATTTTCTAGATTTTTTTTGAACATTTCACTTCCTAATAATTTAACTTTTATCTTTTCTTAACATTGATAATGCAAGGTTGAATCAAGAAAGCCTGAACGTTATTTTTTAGTTGCGCTACCAACTTTATATAAATATATTGCTTGCACGAATTGGATCTCTTATGCACTTTTAGGTGATTCATTAATTTATTAATTTAAATCCCTATAATTTATTTGCGAAGTGATTTGCCACATGTCTTTTATACAATTATTTTTACAAAAAAAAATAACAACATGGCAAATAAGATTGTTGGCTCTTACAGTTAAATATGACATAGACAATTACATTTATTGATGATATATATTTTTGGTAAACTTTATAGAATATGACAGTAACTGATATATTACATTTAATATTGATTTATATTTTTGGTAAACTTCCTAATATATTGTAATAACATTTTGAAATTTATAATGCATATTTTAATATATTTATTTTTAATGATTATTTGATTTATGAGTAATTACCATATTTTAATAAGTTTACAAAAAAATATAAATCAAAAATAAATGTAATGTATCAGTTATTATCATATTCTATAAAGTTTATCAAAAATATATATGATCAATTAATATAATTGTACATGTCATATTTAACTATAAGTCATGTCATCAATTTTATTAGCAATGTCATTATTGTTTTTGTAAAAATGATTGTAGAGAGGACATGTGGCAAATTATTCGTCTTATCTTCTTAGCCATTTCATATTATATGTGAAGTGATTTGGCACATGTTCTCTATACAATTATTTTTACAAAAAAAAATAATAACATGGCTAATAAGATTGATGACTCTTATAGTTAAACTAGATATGGATCCGTGTGTTGCACGAGTTTTATTTGATGTTTAATTTTTGCAGACACATAAAAATGCAAATTGTTTCCACATTAGACCATCTCCAATATATTTTGTTATTTTCACTATAAAATAAATGAACTCTATAATAAAAATGAGATATGCTCTAATATATATTCCTCTATAATAGCAATTTCTAAATATAGAGTAAAAATAGAGAAATGTTATTTCTTCCTTTATCAATAGAGGAAAAAAATAGAAATTTCTATTATAGAAAAAGAAATAGAGGTGGGTTGGAGTAATTTCACTTCCAAATGCTATTATAAAGCTTAAAATAACAATGGTCGTTTAAATAATATACTACTATTTTTGATTATTTTTCAAAATAGTAATAGTTATAGTTAATTGAAACATATAGAACTGTGAATTCTCAATAATATTTATCTTGTTTAAGGCAAATTAAAAACAACACAATTAAAAATATTAAAACTACACGATACCAATCAATATGTATTATTGATAGTTAGATAATTATCAAATATACTATAGATAGTAACGATCTGAAGAATAATAGTGAAAAAAAAACGGCGATGGCGATGGCGACTTTATAGGTTTCGATGAGATTTTGTGGATGGGATCCGGGAGAACGGTGGCTTTTAATTGGGAATCGAAGGAATCAGGAGGGTTATTGGGACAGTGTATCTTTGGCGAAGGAAAGTCATGCTCAGCGATGTAAGTTGCGAGATTCGGGGAGAAAGGAAGATTTTTTTATGGTGTTTTGGGACCTGTGGGATTCTGGAAAATCTGGGCTGATAAAGGGTGAAGATGTGGCTGGATACTTCATCTACACGACTGTCACAGAGGTATCTCTACAGATTTTACAATTAAGAGGTTCAAGTTATTATGTCAACAACAAATGGAAAGGGGAGATTCGCAGTTTCCTTGCTCAACGGGATTTGGGGATCTCTTTAGGGAGAGAACGGAATATTATGGTCTGGTTGAGGATTCTGGAGTTATTGGATCTTAATCACGGAAGATTTGATATTCTGGGGGTGGAGATTCAGAGGATCATTTGCAGTTTCTTGAGCTATTATATAAAGGAGCTCACTTTTTTTGGGTTACAACACATACCAATTTTCAACACATATATCTTTTTTGCTGGTTTTGGTTTCTCTTGTTCGTTGAAATCAATGGCACAGAGTCAGCTTCTTCGCCACACGGGTGCCGGAGAAGGAAGTCGTAAGAGGATCAAGATATCGGTACCACATTTTGACAACACGGCGCTCATCCAAGGGTATGCAAAAACCTTAATTGGTCGCTGCATGAATCCTCCTAAACAGGATGTGAAGGCTTTGGTGGCAAACCTCCCGAAGATCTGGAATCTGGAGAATCGTGCGGTGGGGACAGATTTGGGGCTGGGGAAGTTTCAGTTCGACTTTCAAGATGATGCTGACATTGATGCAGTGTTGATGAAACAACCGTACCACTTTGACTACTGGATGATATCAGTGGAGAGGTGGCAGCCAAGAAGAGAACGTAACTATCCATCGGACATTATTTTCTGGGTGAAGGTTTTGGGTGTTCCATTGGAATTTCGGGCGGCTCAAACTTTTGAGAGTATTGGGGAGGCACTGGGTGAATGGCTGGAGGTTGATTTAGACCAAGGAAGGATTCAAGTGAGGGTAAATGGAGACAAGGAACTCGTGTTTGAGACTACTGTTGAGTTTAAAGGTGGAGAATTTCATGATGGGGAGGAGGTTTTAATATTGCTTTGATATGAGAAGCTCTTTGGCTATTGTGAACTGTGTTACAGTTTGTGTCACGATGAGAAGCTGTGCCCCTTGAATCCAAAGGGTGTGGCTAACAAGAAGGAGTCCATCGATGATTATTCTGGTCATCATGATGATCGTGCAAGGAGTTACAGAGGAGATGTGCTTAATGGCAATACTCATCACCAAGAGAAGGGAAAGGGTCATCAAGAGTTTAAGGGTAAAGGCAAAGGAAGGGCTTATGAGGATCAAGAAGCTCACTGGGTTCGGGTCCCTGAGAGAGACAATAAGAGAGCTTATGATGCACGTAGTAATGGTCGTGGTGAGGAGCAGGGATCGCGTACAAGAGGTCCTCACAGGGACTCACATAGGCGTTATACAGAGGAGCGTAGTGGGTCTTACCGTGGGGAGTCTTCGAGGGGAGGGTCTTCTCGACTTACTGGGAGGGAAAGGAGCCCTTTACAAGGAGGTGCAAAGGATGTTCCAGAGGAGGGAGAGCTTGAAAGAAAGAGTCACAAAATTACAGCTGGAGAAGTGCACCTTCGTGTATCTTTACCTAATGAGAATGTGGCTGGAGATGACACAGATCGTCCAAAGGTATTTTCTGGTATGGAGACAATGGATAGTAGGTTAGAACAGGCTTCTGAACTAGGTGGAACAGGGGATGTTAATGTGGGAGATGTTCCTATGGATCTAGATGATAATAAATTTGATTTAGTGGGGAATGTTAGGTCTGGAAGTGAAGAGGAGGATTTTGAGAATCTTACAGATGGGGAGGCTGCTGACGACATAGTGAATGGTGCAACTGATGTTCTGGATGATGATGCGGCTGCTATCCAAGCAGGGAAGACAAGTGAGACAGGACTGGTTGAGAGGGAGGAGGCGAAAAAGAAGGGTACTCGTAAGGCGTTGTTTAAGCAGACGGGATTGGCAGTGGGGATCTCAAACAAGAAGTTTGTCCAGGTGGTCCTATCACCACGCAAGCGTGGTCATGCTAAATCTGGTACTCGTCAAGGAGATGGGATGAAACAGGCTACGGATAAGGGCACTTCAAACCCTAAAGCTGGCTCTTCTAAACCTTAAGGATCCTTATGAATCAAAGCTTCTACAATGTTTGGTGGTGGGAGTTCTCTTTTGTTTTGGCTTATTTTGTTTCTTGGTTTTCAATAAGCTCTATGAGCATGATGAACTGTTGTTTTCCTTTTTTTGTTTGGCTCTATGTTAGCCTTTTTGTATCTGCTTGGTGTCATGCTCTATGCATGAGATGGAATAAACTTTTTTCGATTTTCTATAGCAATATGATTAGGTGCATGGTTGCGGTTTACTGGAAGTTTATGTGTCACTGGTTTTTTGGAAGAAGAGCTTCTGTTTTTTTATTACAAACGGACAATCTGCAGTTGCTCTTATTAAAGCAATGGCAGGGAAGTTTACATTATCACATATGGTCTCAGTGGGTCCTCTGAGTGGCCATACGGCTGTGTTCCTTCATGTTCATCACAGGGTGGAGTATTTTTACGAGGCTAATGCAAATGAAGTGTCTTTTGGTTGGTAGATTTTTTATCCTTTGCTGGTCAAGGGTCATTACGAGTAGAAGAATTAACAATTGTTTCAAGGAAATATGGTTTGGTGGAGGTGGTCTCTTGGGGATCAACTATGGCCTTACTTTAGGTACGACAAGGTTGGTAGAATGGTTTTCTTTTAATAGCTCTGGCAAGATGGACGCACAAACTGTGCTGCTATGCGGTGTGCATTATCATCTGTTCAAGGATCTCTTTAAATCTTTGAGGATCAACTACGGAGCAGTACCAAGAGTTTTTTATATGAGAATCTTGAGTTGGAATTGTCGAGGCATGGGTAGTAAATGGACTATTAGTTACATGCGGGAGATATGGCATAAACATAAGCCTGACTTCCTCTTTTTATCTGAAACCAAGCAATCTTTTGAGTTTGTACAGGGATTTCAAAATCATTTCGGCTATGATAATTTTGTCACAGTAGACCCGGAGGGGAGGAGTGGAGGATTGGCTCTATTTTATAATAATGATTTCCAGGCTAAGATTTTATACTCTAGTAATCGGATGATTGATGTGGAGGCAGTGGCTCTTGGAAGACAGGTTTTTCTAACCTTTGTCTATGGTGATCCGGTTCATAATTTAAGAGAGCAAGTTTGGGAACGGTTAACACGGTATGGTCTAGCAAGATCAGAACCGTGGTTTATTATTGGTGATTTGAATGAGATAACCGGTAATCATGAAAAGGATGGGAGAGCGTTACGGAGTTTGGCTTCTTTTGTGCCTTTTAATAATATAATTAGAAATAGTGGGTTGATTGAGTTCCCGGCTCGTGGGAACAAAATGTCATGGCAAGGACGTCGAGGGAAAGGGAAAGGAGCGGTGACGATAAGATGTCGACTTGACCGTGCACTAGCAAACGAAGAATGACATACACTATTTCCCTGCTCTTATACAGAATATTTAGCGATGATTGGCTCGGATCATCGCCCTGTAGTGGCATATATGGAAGATAAAGTTTATAAAAGGAGGGGACAATTCAGATTCGATAAAAGATGGATAGGCCAGGAAGGTTTTATGGCATCAATTGTGGCTGGATGGAATGATGGAAATAATGGCCAGGGAGACGACTTTGTCACAAAAATAAGTAATTGCCGGCATGAGATAGCTAGGTGGAGGAAAGATAATCCACCATATGGAAAAGAGAAAATTCAAGATCTCCAAAGGGCTCTTGAAGAGGTACAGATGGACGATAATAGAACGCAAGAGGACATTTTGGAAGTCTCTAGGAAATTACAAGATGCATACAAGGATGAGGAGGATTACTGGTATCAAAAGAGTCGTAATATGTGGTACTCTTCGGGAGATCTTAATACCAAATTTTATCATGCCTTAACAAAACAAAGAAGGGTGCGCAACAGAATTGTGGGGCTTCATGATGATGCTGGAAATTGGATAACAGATGAAAATGGGGTACAACAAGTTGCAGTGAACTATTTTGAGCAGTTATTTACTTCAACTTCCCCATCTGAGTTTGATAGTTTCCTAGAGGAAGTCCCCTCAAATATCACAGCTCAAATGAATCAAAGGTTATTGAGAATGGCCACAGAGGAAGAGGTTAAACAAGCTTTATTTATGATGCATCCTGAGAAGGCACCAGGGCCTGATGGAATGACAGCACTGTTCTTCCAGCATTCATGGCACATTATTAAAGCGGATTTGGTAGAGATGGTGAACAATTTTTTGGTTTCAGGTGTACTGGACGCTCGTTTAAATATTACTCATATTTGAATGATTCCGAAGACGGAGCGACCCACAAGGATGACAGAGCTTAGACCGATAAGTCTTTGTAATGTTGGATATAAGATTATTTCCAAAGTGTTATGTCAACGCTTGAAAAGCTATCTGCCCCAGATTATATCGGAAACCCAATCGGCCTTTGTTCCAGGAAGGTTAATCTCGGATAATATTTTAATCGCACAGGAGATGTTTCATGGTTTAAGAGCAAATAAATCTTGTCAGGGGAAGTTTATGGCGATAAAAACAGATATGAGTAAAGCGTATGATCGGGTGGAATGGGATTTTATTCAAGCGTTGCTACACAAGATGGGTTTCGACCCTCATTGGACAAAGCTCATGATCGAATGTATATCGTCGGTCCAGTATCGTGTATTGATTAATGGTCAGCCAAAGGGTTCCATTATCCCACAGAGAGGATTAAGACAAGGGGATCATTTGTCTCCCTATCTATTTATTATGTGTACGGAGGCTTTAATCGCTAATATTAAGAAGGCGGAGGGACAAAGGAGACTAACAGGTATGAAGGTTGCGAGAGCGTGTCCACCATTTCTCACCTTCTTTTTGCGGATGATAGCCTTTTCTTTTGCAAGGCGCAACAGGATGAATGCCACACTATACTGACCATTCTAAAGGAATATGAGGTTGTTTCGGGTCAATTGATAAATTTCCAGAAGTCTTCACTTCAATTTGGCCATCGGAATGGGGAGGAAAAGAGACAAAAGCTCAGGGATATATTAGGAATCCAGAATATAGGAGGCATGGGAACATATTTAGGACTATCAGAGAGTCTGAGTGGGTCTAAGATACAAGTTTTTGGTTTTGTGCAGGAAAGATTAAATAAACGGGTTAATGGTTGGACATTCAGGTTTTTTACGAAAGGAGGAAAAGAGGTAATCATCAAATCGGTGGTTACGGCTTTACCGAATCATGTGATGTCCTGTTATAGGTTACCCAAGGCAACCACAACGAAACTAACAAGTGCAGTAGCACAATTTTGGTGGAGTCCGGGGGGAAGCACAAAGGGAATGCATTGGAAATCATGGGATAAATTATGTCTTCAGAAGGATGAAGGAGGTTTGGGTTTCAAGAACCTCGAAGATTTGAACACAGCAATGTTGGCCAAACAACTATGGCGCCTCATTGAGAAACCAAATACTTTGTTTTCTCGTGTCTTCAAAGGTCGATACTATAGGAATGCGTCGCCTTTGACACCGATCCGATCATATTCTCCATCCTATGGCTGGAGAAGTATGGTTTCAGCTAGATCTCTGGTTAGCAAAGGACTTATTAAACGGGTGGGATCAGGATCATCTATCTCAGTATGGAATGATCCATGGCTCCCAACCACTCGCCCGAGACTAGCAAATAAAAATCAACAAAATGTTTTTTCGAAACTTACAGTGGATTCACTCATCAATACAAATTCACGGACTTGGAATATGCCGGTTGTTCGAGCCCTAGTAGACTCCCAGGATGTGGAAATAATAGCACGTATTCCACTCAGTAGGATACCTGTGGACGATAAGGAGGGATGGCATTTCACCAAGAATGGAAAATACACGGTTAAGTCAGGGTATGAGGTTGAAAGGGTGTACTCGGATAGAGAAAGGCCAATTGAGTTCCCCGGACCTACAGTGGATGTCTTGAAAGCACACTGCTGGAAGGTAAGGTGTCCCCGCAAGATCAAACATTTTCTATGGCAGTTGCTATCGGGTTGTATCGTGGTCAAGAAAAATCTTCAGAAAAGAGTGATAAAGGGTGATATATGTTGTGACAGGTGTGGTGCTGAAGAATAATCGGTTAACCATATTTTCTTCGAATGTCCACCAGCACGCCAAATTTGGGCTCTGTCAAGGATTCCTTTGAATCTGGTTACTTTTCCAACAGGGTCCCTGTTCACGAATATGGATCATTTATTCTGGCGGGTTTCCCCTAAAATGGATGACCATCATTTTGCATGGATTTTGTGGTACATCTGGAAAGGGCGAAATAGCAAGACTTTTAGTAATTTGGATGTTGATCCAAAGGATACACTGGCATTAGCTGAGGTGGAATCAACTTTGTGGGAGGAGGCCCAAATAAAAGTCGATCAGACCAGTGAACAGTCAGGGGAGTCACGGCCTTACCGTCTATACCAGGACGGTAGTGTTTTATTGATGGTTCTTGGAAAGAAAAGGATCGATTTGATGGACATGGATGGTATAGTACTCTTGAAGGCTTTACGGCCTTGATGGGAGCAAGAAATGTGAGATCCAGTCTTTCATCTCTTCATTCTGAGGTGGAGGCGCTTATCTGGGCAATGGAGAGTATGAGGAATTTGCGGCAATACCAAGTTACTTTTGCAACAGATTGTTCTCAGTTGGTGAAGATGATTTCTGAACCAGATGAATGGCCAGCCTTTGCAAGTTATTTGGAAGATATCAAGACGCTTCAAGAAAGTTTTCACAGCTCAGCAATAATCTATGTACCGAGGACAATGAATTCACAGGCGGATAGTCTAGCACGTGGTGCGAGAAAACAATCGTCTTTTGTTGTTCACATGGATACAGAGCTGCCGGTTTGGTTCACAGGGTCCATATGAGTCTGTGTTTTTTGTTGATGTCAAAAAAAAAAAAATCAAATATACTACTAAATAAAACATCAAATATGTTTATTTTAGCATTTATGTTGTGACTATTGTCGTTATGTTTAAAAAATCTGAAACTATGGAATTGCAGTGAATCTTGATAGTGTGATGTATAATTGTACGACGGACTTGGTAAATATACACCA